CCACTCTACGCCTAACCGCAATACTAGTCACCATACTATAATACATAACACAGGCGATTCAACACAAACATTTGTGTTCAAAAATAGCTAACCTTTTTTTATATCTTTCACTCTAAGTGACCATGTCTCGTCGCAATAGCACTCTCACTCATACTTTAGGTAATTCATGTGGAAATTAGTCAGTAATGCACAGCGGATAGAAATAAAGTTTTTTGGGGGGTTTGTATTGCTTGGACCAACTTCAAGCTTGATTTCATCTCCCATACAAATATTGTGTTACAGACAGTTTATGAATTCAAATTGTCGGTTTGCGGAGATTTGATTGGTTACAGTATTCCATCATCAGCTGACATCGGTTAGAGGACCAATGGAAAACCTGCAGGGAGTACTGGACAGCTGTATCATCCTAGTTTGGGACTCTTCACAGCCTGCACTCACCGCCAGGGTTCGAAACCAGGACTAAGGCGAGTCGGTAAACCAACAAGCCACTAAGATCCGGTTCACTGACTTTTGAACTTCTGCCAACTGACGACAGTGCGACCACCAACCAATGGCATTGCAGGCGAATATATGTCCTCACGCCCAACCTGTTGTACCCCGCTGGTCAAGATTTCCAATTAAAACCCAGGTGACTACTAACCTGAATAGGGCCAGTGAACATCAGAACCCCGGTGGGTGCTTACTGTGAAGAATCTCAAACAAGGAGGAAACGGCTGTCCAGTACTCCCAATTTTATCAGTTGTTAAGTTTTCAGTTTTCACACGTTAACATTTTTCAAAATGTGTGTTATTATTGAACCTTTAACAGTATGTTACATAAATCAAAATCCAGAGATGATGTAACAAATTTGTTTATAAACATTCATACACAAATAGCAGATATTATTCATAAACAATGTGTACACGTTTTGATATTATTTGAAACAGTTTCAAACAACACTTAAAATTTTAAAACAAATTGTTCATTTTTAGATTTGAAGCCAATAGTTAATGAAACTTTCATCATTTTTAGTGACAGCTACACCATCAGTTAAAATTTACCACAAGAAATTTGAGCATAATTCTGTGGAGAGTTTTCAAATCATTCACTTAATCTTAAGATTAGAAATGTTTCAGGGAATAGCGTACACAACCCTTTGATATACAAGTATATCCTGTAGATTATTTCAGTTGCTGAATGCTCTGAGCGGTCATAAAAGGATTTATCATCCTATGAAATTATTTTCAAAGCACGCGAGGGATTTTCGTTTCTGCGTTCCTTTACGTTCCGCCTGGAACAGAAGGCTTCGAACTTGAACTTAGATGTTTCACTAGCGCTGGTGTTTTATTGCTGAGTGAGGTTGCTAGCTTCATGAGTGACCTTTCCTCTTTATGAGACTAACTACCGGCTAAGCGAGGCTTAGAAGTGTGTCTGCCGGGAACAGAACTTGAACCACATGCGTGGATGGCAGGCTTTCTACTATTAAACCACTGACACAAAAGGAATAGATACTGAACAAAGAATACTCTTTTCGATAACTTCATCATCAAGCTCTACAGTTATATATACATTATAGTGAATGAATGAATTAATGTTATGAACAATATTAATGTTGTTTAAATAACATCGAATCAATAATATTAATAGATTACAGTTCAGTAGCATCAACATAACAATAAACTGAATGTAAGAAAAATCAGGAAAGATAATAATACAAATTCATGAATTTATAGTCTCTACTGAAGGCCAGGGCAGAAGTAGTGGCTGGACTTGTTTCTTTTGCACGCAGAGCACTGGTTGTTTGAGGCTAATTGCGATAGACTTTGTTTAAATAAAGCAAGAACAACAGTGTTACCATCATTTATTTCGTCGGCTTCTCATCAGCTGCTCACAGCCTAAAAAATGTGAGGTTTACCTACAGAAAAGTTTTAAAATACTTGCAAATTTTACATGTTGTCAGTTGACAGAAAGTTTCACAATTAGTGAAAAGTGCTCAGAAAATTTGATGATGCATATAGCAATATTGAGTTCACTATGGAACATGAAAGTGACAGAAAGTTCACTTCCTCGACATTGCCATGGAATGCCTAGAAGACGGTAGTCTTCAAAAGTCAATTTATCGAAAGCCTACATAGAAAGGACAATACTTACATTACAATAGCTTTTGTTCAAATAGCTTTAAACGCGGTCTAGTCAAGACTCTGTACTATAGAGCGAGAAGAATATACTCTATAGAGAAATTAGAGGAAGAATTTGAGTTTCTTGAGGAGATGTTGAAGAGCAATGGATACCCTCAAAGGTTCATCAACAAGTATGGAAGATCTGAAGTCACAAGTGTAAAACAAATCACAGTGAGAAAAAAGCCAACCTACTTTCAGCTTGATTATAAAGGTGAAAACATTACAGTGATGATCAACAGATGGCTGAGTACATCACTAGCTATAGCCTATCCTGCAGCTAAGCTCGTTCCTGTCTATCGAACAACTTGCTCTTTGGTGCAATCAAAAATCGATAGATATCCTTCTCATGTTAACCCCAACTGTATATACAAATTTACATGTATCTGCGGGAGCTGTTACATTGGAAGGACAGAAAGAAGGGCATATCTACGATTTTCTCAACATGTACCAAAAAGCCTACGTCTCAAGGGAACAAATGCTTTTAACAGTGCCATCGCCAGGCATCTCCTCGACACAGGTCATCAGGTGGAAATCGAGAAATCTTCTAAAATTATCAACAGACAAAGAAGCTCCATTCTCCTCAAGTTTGCTGAAGCAATTTCTATCAAACGCTTCAAACCAGATTTATGTGTTCAGAAAGAAGCAGTTATTAGTCTTTCCTTGCCATGGTAACTGGATGTCTTTATTCTCTACTCTGATTACGTAATCTTTGTCTTTAACCTCACCCCTCTTTTTTATAATCTGTAATATTGCTTGTCTCTTGTTTCTATGACGTGATTTGAACTCAGTACATCGTTACCAAATTTATTAGTTACTCATCATCTTACTCACCTCTCGTCTTTATTACGTAACTCCTTTACCATTGTATGCATACATTTATTTTGACTTGAACTGCCTGTGTAAAAACTATATAAGCACAATTTTCTGAGCACTTTTCACTAATTGTGAAACTTTCTGTCAACTGACAACATGTAAAATTTGCAAGTATGTTAAAACTTTTCTGTACGTAAACCTCACAATTTATTTAGGCTGTGAGCAGCTGATGAGAAGCCAACGAAATAAATGATGGTACCATATTATTCTGCACAAATCACTGTTGTTCTTGCTTTATTTAAATTCATCAAGGGGAATAAATGCATGATAGACTTTGTTGTTTGGAGCATGCGGTACATCGGTGTTTTTAGCATTTTATTAGGCACCCGGTAGATGATAGAGAAGGATTCTTCAACGCTAGCTATATGGCCAGTTTGCACCAGATGCTCTAATATCGAACTGTTGATGGTTTTCACGAGAGCTTTACTTAGCCATACTGGGAGATTTTCTCAAGCACGAAAAATCAAGTTCCTAGAGCAACGGCCGACATGACATGAGTAATTGCAAACGACCTGTACAAATCAGTAAACCATGGTTGTTATGTAGAAATGTTCCACAATTCTGTTACTGTTTTATTACTTCATTTCTCAGCAACCTCTTCATCTGGTTACCAAAAATGATGCAAGTCAGGCAGGGAAAAAATGCAGAACACTTCTACTTGGATTTGGATAATTTGGAAAGTCGCATTAAACAGTGGGGATTAATGTAACAAATTTTTCGCTGTTCATACTGCTCAATGGTGTATTGAGTGTAGCTACATACTTTTAGAACTGAGTTTCGTAATTTTCTTGAGAATGGGTTTTAAAACAATGGATGTTCATCTTGTCCATGCTTCCCAAGTATTGTGCAGTGTTTCGAAGTTTCTGTAGCGATTGGATTGAATTTTCATCAGAAACGCCATCCAGATCTTCACCGCTAGTGTCAAGTCAAAGCTTCTGTATAGTTCACCGGAAGCATTTCCAACAGGCTGCTGGAGGCTTTTATCAACAGATACCTTTTCTGGTTCAATGTAGAAGAAGAGATGGCCAGGCAGAAAGGATAGGTAGAGAGAAAATCTGATACCAAACTAACCAAGAACATATTGCCCAACAAATTTGCAGAAAAAAGTGGAGATGGATTAGGCAAACGCTAAGGAGTCCATTGAGTGACATTACGCGCCAGGCAGTTACTTGAGTGTAAAATGGTTAAGCGTGGGCTTGAAGATAATATGGAGGTGGCTGTGTCAAGAAGAAATGAGAGCTTATGCGCAGTCGAGCTAATAAAACTGCAGGGAACCGAGTGAAATGTACATTATATGGAAGACTTATGCTGCACCCGGAACTCAAAAGGATGAATATTCAGCTGCATTTCTTAGTAATCGTTTGGATGTACATATACAGAAGAAAATGGAGATAGATTGAGCAAACGCTAAGGAGTCCATTGAGTGATATCACGCGCCAGGCGGGTCCCTGAGGTAACCTGGCTAGGAGACGAAAGAAAAGTTAAGTGTGGGTCTGAGGGTGGCACTGAGGTGACTGTGTGAGGAAGAGATGAGAGCTCATGGACAGTCGAGCTAAAAAGACTGAAGAGAACTGAGTGGAACAGACATGCTATAGAAGCCTCATGTTACACTCGGAACTCAAAGAAATAAATGTTCAGCTACATTTCTTAGCAATCATCTGGATACACATAGCTGCATACTCAGTTAACTAACATTATAGAAGATTTTCTCATAGTTCCTCTAGTAATTCTCTTTCAGGAAAGATCCTATGGTCTTTCTGTTGCAAAACCAACGATCCGTTTCATTCATGTTAAGAGACTATCCTAGGTAGTCAAAGCAGATAACTGGTCCATCTTGATCTCTTTTAGGATATGTCACTCTACGCCTTGTTTAGAAGGAACTGGACGTTTTATCACCTTAGATTTCACCGTCACAACCTCGAATATTAGTAAAAGAAGACATCTATTAATAAAATATAACTTGCTCACCTGTAATATCAGCTTGTGATGGACGAAACAAATCCACAATACCAATCTCCTCTAAAGGTTTGACAAGATCAATCGTCTTCTCCAACTTGAACTTTGGCATTCTTAAAGAAACTGTAGTTTCCTTTAGTTTGCCCACATATTTACTTAGTATTTTATTTCCGTTAAGAACTTCAACAGGCTTACTAAGTTCCCATTTATTAAGTGGCAAAATCACCACAAACGTGAAACGAGTATTCTGAAGAAACGAAAAATTAAATCCAAAAAACAAGAAAGTGGCATAATTACACATATGGATAAATTATATAAAATCACTTTCTTCAGCGCCAGCAAAATAAATAGTGAAACACTAAGACGGTACTTAGCAACTCTCCTTGATAATTCAGACTGTGTTAGTTTAACTTTGTATGGTAGGAAGCAAAATATAATTTTTGCCTCTTCAACTGAAAACATTCTTCAGACCTCTATAATTCTATGAGTTTGCGTAATGAGCAATGTTATACACTGACTACCATTAAATAATGGCGTTTACAAAAGTATAGATAAGGGTTTTGAAAAATAGGTGTCATAAAATTCCTAAAATCATTGATCCGGGTTCCTTATCTTTATCTTTATCATTTACTTTAAATCAATATCAGAAAGATATAAGTTTTGATACTCACTTCTATATTCAACGTGTCATACCTTCAGCAGAATCTCTTAGATTAAGTTATGACAATGAGATTATCTTGACAGGTCTTACACAGAAGTTATACTCATTTTGAAAACAACATGAATACATTGGAAAGTGTATTTTTGATTACTCATTAGTCACACTTCAATTTTCCATTTGAAGAGTTCTCAACGTCATCTTTAGTTGAACATTCTTAAAACCTCTTGATCTGTAAATGATGACAATAAACTATTGACCTTATTCGTCTAATTAATCTCAAACAAAAGAATAAGTCCAGATTCATATTCAGTGTGTTTTGGGCACTGAACATTATTCTCCCCCTTTTGGCTTTGGTTTCATGCCGTTCGCGAAACGTTTCGGGTATCTATTTGAGTCAGGATATAAGTATAAAACTTGGGCACTGTGGTAGAGTATACTTTCATTATGGATAAGATTTTATCTTGATAAATCACACAGTGTTGTACAGTAATATTAACTGATGACCACGTTTCGAGCACAAATTATTACCGCTCATAATCATATCAAGTCACTCACACACCTTTTAGCTTCATAATGATGATAATATAGTGTTATCAAAAAAATGCAACAAGATGGGAAATAAGATTTTTTTACAGTAAAAATAAGTAACTCGTTACAATGTAATAATGTGAATTCAATACATTTTAACATATTCAATGTTTGAAGGTTTGATTGGTCACAGGATTTCATCATAAGGTGACATTAGTTAGAGAACCATTGGAAAACCTGAGAGTACTGGACAGCTGTTTCGTCCTAGTTTGGGACTCTTCATCAGTATGCGCCCACCGGGATTCGAACCCAGGACCTTCTGGTTACAAGGCCAGCTAGCCCGTATGCCATTAAGCCTCTGGGACCCGATACAATGGCCCATGAATTCCAACTCCTGCTAACTTCTGGCTAGGGGTCGCGCTATGTCGTGAATTGGCAGGAGTTGGAATTCATGGGCCATTGTATCGGGTCCCAGAGGCTTAATGGCATACGGGCTAGCTGGCCTTGTAACCAGAAGGTCCTGGGTTCAAATCCCGGTGGGCGCATACTGATGAAGAGTCCCAAACTAGGACGAAACAGCTGTCCAGTACTCTCAGGTTTTCCAATGGTTCTCTAACTAATGTCACCTTATGATGAAATCCTGTAACATTTTAACATATTTTATTATTCTCCGATTTGACTAGTAGTGATATCTTCCATATCTCTGGTATTTGAGTTGAGTCACTTCTGTTGCATGTGTTGGGTGTACAGTCAATATCCTAAAGAGTAATATAGGTAAGTGGAGTGCGAGAGAGATTGATTACTAAATCCTGGTTCGTCAAGTTTACACCCAACATATGCAACAGAAATAACTCAAAGCGAATACCAGAGATATGAAGGATATTATTACCACCAGTCAGTCAAATCAGAGCAGGATAATAAATAATCTCAAAATTCTATTTCAATTCAAGCACATCATAACATTCTAACAAGTTACTTATTTTGACTATAAAAACACTCGTCTTATTTCCCATCTGATTGTATTTGACTTATAGCACTAGTATTATTATTTCTGAATGCACATTATCTTATATTGATTTTTATTCGAATGTCCAATTATCAATTTCACTCATGTATATAAATAAAGCAAGAATGTTGTGTGAGTACCTTGATATGAATATGAGCGGTAATAATTTGTACTCAAAACGTGGTCATCAGTTAATATTACTGTACGACAACACTGTGTGATTTCTCAAAATAAAATCCTATCCATAATTGAACCAGGATACTTTTAAGAAATAAGAGCTCTTCTTCTAGGCAGTCAGTACTGCAAATTCTTCTGATACGATGAGCAGGTGATGAAATGATAAGAGCTACTTTCAACTCAGAGGGATCTAACGACAGAAGTTTATTAGTTGGCCATCCCATGATGCATTCCTATGGATCGATCTTTTCAGAGTTATAATATATCTTCTTGTCAATTCTACATCGAGAAATGTACTGTTTGATTCATTTCTAATTGCAATGTAAATTTAATTAAAGGATGGTAGTTATTAAATTCTTGTAAGATGCAATTTAAACAGGAATCATTATGACAGACTATAAAACTGTCGTTGACATACCTTTTGTACAACAGTAATTTGTCGGTTGTTGATTCTAAGATTCCACTTTCCTAATTGACAGTAGAGCAGCCTTCAAAAGGTGGGCCAAGAGGAAAGCCAGTGGAACTCAGAAAAGCCATAATTGAACCCCTCATTGTGACATCTGTCATAACATCTCAACTGACTCATCATTCAGAGTTATTTATAAAGTAAAAAAAAGTCTACCAAAAGCCATTGTGCTTGCGAATTCCGTGTACTACAGAGGCCTCCACCATATGCATTGGAAAGACGGAGGTATGTGTTCAAAAGAAACTAGTTCAACCTCTACATTTACCGTGGATCTAGTTCGTTTTGACTCCTTAGTTTTCATCCCATTTTTTCATTCCCTTAAATTTCTTTCATCTCCAGTTAAAAATGATTATTGGCTGGAGGATTTCATCATGAGCTGACATCAGTTAGAGGACCATTAGAGAACCTGGGGGTACTGCACAGCTAATTCGTCAGACTAGTTTGGGACTCTTCGCAGTACACACCCACTGGGATTCGAACCCAGGACCTTCTGGTTACAAGGCGAGCTCGTAGACCATCGAGCCACTTGGACCCGATCAAATGGTCCTTGAATTCTAACTTCTGTCAATTCACGACATAACGCGACCACTTCGCAATGTCTTCTTCGATGAGTTACTGCCTCATCTTCAACTTGCTGCACCCTGCTAGTCACGGCTTCCCACTAGAACCCCAGGTTGACTGCCTGAATAGGGCCAGTCTCTAGTGAGAGTCAGGTAGATTTTCAATTGTTGGTTTGTTAAGGGATTTTGTTCGGTTGGTTGGAGGACCCGGTGGGTGCGTACTACTGAAGAGTCTCAAACTAGACCAACGAAACGACTGTCCAGTACTCTCTGAAGGTTTTCCAATGGTTCTCTAACTGATGTCAGCTTATGATGAAATCCTCCAACCAATCAAACAAAATCCCTACAAAAACCAATACTTGAAAAACGATTATTATTTCAATTTGTTTCCATGCTCGTCCTGTTCACACTTTTCTTTTTTTAAAATCATTTTTCATACTGGGCAGCTATTTTCTAATCTCGTGTAATTTTGTTTCTAAGCCCCTTGTAATCTATATTCACAACTTCGAACTTTCACATCAAGTTGAAAATTATTATCACCTTTAACCTCCTTCGATATTCTGTAGAATGAAATAATTGTACCTATGTAAACTTTTGTTTGTAAATTCGAATGTACAGCATTTGAAATGAATGAAATAGCCGAAAAGATATCCTTTCTGCTGAACTTCCTCGTTATTTTTTCTCCTTAATGTCCTGATGGGTATTTGTTGTGAATAGGGTTGTTAAGTAGTTGGCTGTTCATATTTTTAATCGCATAGATTTTGAGAGAAACTTCATTCATCAAACCCTTTTAAAATGATGAGATGTTTGCATTATTCAGTATCTAACTGGTATCTAGCTACTTATATCAATCACTTAGTAGTATATAGTGTTGTCGCATTTTATTCGCTTTCCTAATTGCCTTTTATCGTATCAACTTGACTGATCACATATTGTGATTACAAAATGTTTGGTTTCCTGGAGAAAATGAGGTGAAATTTCTGCTCGAGCTGGGAATCGGTTTTCAAATATGAGTTAAGGTCTCAGTTATTTACACGAAATGTTTTAACTATGACCATGGATGACTTTTGTGCGTCCGTGGCTCTCCGACCATGCACATGGTCTGGGGTTCCATCTCCGACCGACGCACTCTTTTACCTCGCTAAACGAGAAATAATGCTGGTAAAGAGGAAAGGTTGGTCATGAGGCTAGCAACCCCATCCTGTAAAATAAACACTGCTACAGAAACTTCAAGCCACCAACTTGAAGCCTTATGTTCCACTGGGGAAAGTGAAGAAAAAAAATTGATGATTTTGGGAATGAATCTTCTACCGAAATCTGCATCATAACAACAATGCCACAACTCAAACAGTAAATAGAGTAAAAATATTTCTTACCCGAAAAGGTTTACTGATCATTTCGAAACCATCCTTCTGGAATTTCTCGTACAATAGCACTTCTTCACTAGCCATCATTGGAACTTTTAAATTACGCCTAGGAGAAACACTAAAAGTTTCTATTCGTGTATAGTGTGGTTCAAATGGATTTTCCCAGTAGTCTAAAAGGAAATGAAATTGTGTTAGGTATTTTGAAAATATTTTTTATATATATTCAGCATTGATTTAACTGGCTTGCAGTGTTAGATGGTTAGAAGTAATCTACAGGAAGATTTGGATATAGGTTTCTTGCCTTTTGCTAATCGTCAGCAAGGCGTATCTGCAAACACACAGTGTTAAAAACAGAACATATCTCTAGCTTCTTGACACATATAAACTCACTAGTAAAGGGAATAAAATTCACATTTGAATCAGAAAATGAACAAGGAGAATTAACTATGTTAGACTGTAAAATAAAACGAAAAGAAGAAGGTAAACTGCACACTAGCGTTTATAAAAAGCCAACGCATTCTGCTCATAGATATTTAGATTTTAATTCATCTCATCCGCTGTCTGCTTGTGAAGGCAGGCTTAGCTAAGTGTCTAACAAACTGAGCAGTTGAACTAAGCACTACAGGAAAAGTCCTAAATGATGAAATGAAACAGATAGAAGAAGCGTTGGTATCAAATAACTAACTATCCTATAAAATTCATTGAGAAAATCGAAAAAGGCCCAAATCAAGATCAAAATAATGGTGAAACTGATAATAATAACATACATAAGAGAGAATATAAGTCATCTACAGTTATACCACATAAAGAGGGGACATCTGATACCCTACGTAGGATTCTAAATAAAGCAGGAATTAGGGTAGCATTTAAACCTACAAACTCACTCAGGGACAAACTCTGTAGGTTAAAGGACCCAGTGGACCCAATTAGACAAAATAATATGATTTTGTGGATCCAATTACAGGTACACACACAAATTCTATAAAAGAATGTCGGGGAAGATTGAAAAATAGGATAAGGGCTATAAATGGATCTCAAAAGGATCTCACTTACAGTCATATAAGTACAGAACGTGGTGTGACTTTTCTGTTGACACTTTTATGCTAAACTGGGAGATATTTCTGTCACATGTTAGAGAAAGATACCCTATGTAACAGTTTTATGCAGTTTTTATGTGTTTTTCTCCATAAATATACGTTTTCCTTAATCAAAAATCCCTCTTTCATGTGATTGCTTAAAGTTTAATTTTGCCGTTGACAGCTTTCAGTGAATTTCCTCTAGCTGTCTAACTTTAATTCAAAGTGAACTACTGCGGTGGGTTTCTTAGCTCGGCAACCTCATTACAAACTTAACTGATTGAAATTTGTCAGCACTAAAGAATGGCCAGCATGTTACAATTATTTACTCCTTGTGTTCTGAGTAGCACATAAGACCTCAGAGATACATTATTATTGCAAGCTGTTCCTTGACATCATATTCAACTGGCATTAAAACTGCTTACAAACTTTCACATCTTCTTCATGTTATCCTTGAGCTTCAAGCCCGTCGCTTCTTATTTAGGTTCCACTAAAGGTACTACCTGAGGTGTTATAACACTGGGATGTCTCTTCAGCATATGATCAATCTATCTCCCTTTCCTTCACCATTTTGTTGAACAACTGATCATTGCCTGTATCAATACCAGAGTTCCTCTGTTTCCTGCTTCACTTTTGTGGCTGGCTACCGAAGGTAGATTTTGATGAAAATCCGTTATCTGTTGGAAATGTTTTCGACGATGCACTCGCTGAATCTCAGAACCATGTAGAAGCACTGATTTGACATCAGTGCAGAAGATCGGATCGTGTTCCTTGTACCAAGTGCTAGAGATCTTCACAATGATTTCAGAATAATAAAAGCTTATTCTTCTTTCTCGATCCTCGTTGACCTTGACATCCTCATGCGCATCACCTACAGCTGAAACTGACTTCCCCTTTTACTTAATGCGTTTTAACAGCACACGGTTTCATGTTGATTAGACATTCAGAAACACTAAGTATACTTTTGAGCAAAAAGAAAGTTGCAGAGAAAGAACACATCCTTTAAACTTGTTAAGTATGCAAAAGAGAGTATTACAGGCACACTTCCACATAAAGATGTGTTTGAGAAAATTTTATGAAACCTTTCTTAACACATATTTTATCTTGGTGTGGTTGTGTTCTCTGAGCTGGATGGTTTGGTTGCGAAGCTTTCATTGCTCTTCTGAGCAACATCTTCAGCGCATACTTCGATGTGAAGTGAGCTTTTAGAATTCTCTATGAGTTTATTAGTCATCTCTTCTAGTAACCTTGAACGTGATTGGTTGTTTTCGTGTGACATTTCACCCCCTAGTTTGCTTGTCTCAGTGCTGGCTGCTTCTTTGGTCTGAATGTCGTTAGTCATTCCTTCTGCTAACCTTGAACGTGATTGGTTGTTTTTGTGTGACTTCTCACTTTCTAGTTCACTTGTTTTGGTGTTGACTGTTTCCTTGACCTGAAGTTTGACTTTGTTTTTGTGTGAATTTCTTCGTATGGATTGGTATATTTTGTCAATCTCTATGTGTCTATTGATTGCGGATTCATTTGAATACCAGGCCTCTAGGAGTTCTCTGGCATTTTTGCAGTTCCCTTTGTCTAAGATTTGAACATTGTCCCAGTCGAATTGGTGCCCGTGGTTGTCTGCATGTAGTGATATGAGGGAGTGTATGTCGTGTCTTTTGACAGCTAGTTTGTGTTCGCGAATGCGAAGACGAAGAGGGCGTCTACTTTGACCAATGTAATGTTTGTCGCAGTCGTTGCAACTTATCTTGTAGATGACCGTAGTTTTGTCTTCTTTTGCCGTTGAGTCCTTTGGTTTACATAGAACTGAGTGTAGTGACTTTGTTGGTTTATGAGGTTAGCAGAAGGAATGACTAACGACATTCAGACCAAAGAAGCAGCCAGCACTGAGACAAGCAAACTAGGGGGTGAAATGTCACACGAAAACAACCAATCACGTTCAAGGTTACTAGAAGAGATGACTAATAAACTCATAGAGAATTCTAAAAGCTCACTTCACATCGAAGTATGCGCTGAAGATGTTGCTCAGAAGAGCAATGAAAGCTTCGCAACCAAACCATCCAGCTCAGAGAACACAACCACACCAAAATCATCCACCTGAGCTACAAATCTTCCCTATTATACTTATTTTGTCTTTGATTTCGCCCTTGACTCAGGATGGTCTAGTCGTTTAAGACATTCACTGTTTAGTGTAAGTGTAGAACTTGGCCAGTGTTGATGTAGAATGTAATTCCATAAAGGATAAGTTTATTTTTAAATATCACACGTCAATGCGGTATTAACAAGTGGATGACGTTTCCAAGCAAAATTTATTGCTCACAATCATATCAAGGTTTTTACTGTATAATATTACCATTCAAAATTCAAATTTTCATAAGTTCATTTTTAAAATTTTTCATCTCCTTTGGTAGTGGATGAAATGATATCACCAGTCAATCTGATTAGATGAATAAAAAATCGAATGATTACACATTTCAAACTTCAGTTTCTAGTGTGGTGATTTTTTTATGAAACCTTTTATCACTAAGTCATACTTGGAAATACATCTGACCAATTAATACAACCATTACAGGAGGTCACTGCTTAATCATGATCTGTATACATGAAGAATTATAGTTTCTTAAGTAAAATAAAAAGCGAACATTATCTTCGTTTCTAAGTACATAAAATGTCTCCAGTTCATTGTAGATGGTTGGAGGCAATCGGCAGGAAGCCTTAGAACTAGGTGCTGCAGTCAGAGATGTTACCACTGGGTGACGCGGGTCCGAATCTCAGAAGGGACATCAGTTCCTTCAAAGTTGCAGATACACCTTGCTGACTGGTGAGTGCCAACTAGCACGAAAACTAGGTCAGACTTGGTTTCCTGCCGATTGCCTCCAACCATCTAATATAATGAAATCAGTGTGCACCGTGGTGGTGGGCACATTGCAAACCTGACTGATAGAATTCAGTCTGCACCAAAGAAAGGACTAGACACATCACACTAGTTACTAGTGTCCAATGGAAGTATGCCTCCAGTTCACTCCTAAATCCTTTTTCCCTGTAAATGTATGTGAATGTGCTGAAATCGGCGAAATGACAGAAGTTAGTGTTCATATACCACTGGGTTCCTCAGCAGTGGGTGAATGCTTAACGTGCTCTCCTCTTAAACCGAATGTTCTTATTTCAATCCCCTGTGTGCGTACCGATGAGGAGCACTAAACTAGGACAAAACAGATATCCAATACTCCCTGGTTTTCAGTAGTTCTCTAACTGAAGTCATTTCCTTGGTCAAACTTTAAATCAGTCAATTCCCTACAAACTAACCCTTTAGAAAATTGCATGACTGTTTAAATTGTGTACTTGTAACTCACCTTTAAAGTAGAATACACTTATCATTATCATCCAGGTATCTTTTGGAATTTCACGAGCACTTGTAAAGAATTTTTTCACTAGTCCATAAGAGTGTTCATCAACCCAATGATTTATATTGATTGCAGCACTAGTCCGATTTCCGAAATCCACCTGAAATGAAATTATAAGTAATTTCCTTTTTTTATTCACTAATAGTTATTTAATCAACGTGTTAATCAAAATAATCCGTTGAAATTTTGATATTATGATACTAAGCAAACTAAAAAAAACTATTTTAATTTGCCATCTGTGAAAGCTGATGAGTTAGAAAAATATGCGACGATAAAGAATCTAGTGCTTCAGTGATTCAATGATAGTGCGCTCACCAAAGACGTCGGATGTCTTGGTTCCGTTCACGGTCGATGCATTCCCAAACCTCACTCAACCGGTAGAAAGCCGTGAAAAGAAGAAGGGTCGGTAGTGAGGCTAGAAAAAACAGTTCCACCTATATTGAAGCTCCAGAAACTTCTTATGTCCCACTCTGAACTCAAAGGAATGAAACAAATCTCAGTGCAATAACTCCATAACAACGCTATTATCTACGTACTACCGACGATTCCCAAACTGGGATGAAACAGCTGTCCAGTACTCCCTGGCTAGTTTTCAATGGTTCTTTAACTGATATCAATCCTTGATCACAGTTGGAAAACAAATCAAATTCTTACAAATCAACTTTTAAGAATAAGTAAATAAAAAAGGATATTTCATGATTTTGGGAAGAAAGCAATAATAAATAACAAATATTATATCTTAGATCTCGTAAGTTTATTACAACCTATTTAACACGTGTAATTAATGCATGGGAATTCAATTTAAAAGTATTGGTTTTGTAGGGATTTTGTTTGATTGCATGGAGGATTTCATCATGAGCTGACATCAGTTAGAGAACCACTGGAAAACCTGCAGGGAGTACTAAACAGCTGTTTCGCTCTAGTTTGGGACTCTTCACAGTACGCACCCACCCCCATGGTTCGAACCCAGGACCTTCTGGTTACAAGGCGAGCAATGGAATTCGCAATGTCTTCTTCGATGAGTTACTGCCTCATCTTCAACCTGCTGCACCCTACTGGTCACGGCTTCCCACTAGAACCTCAGGTTAACTGCCTGAATAGGGCCAGTCACTAGTGAGCATCAGATTTATTTTCAAGTATTGGCTTTGTAGGGATTTTGTTTGATTGCACGTAGGATTTCATCATGAGAAGCCGTGACCAGAAGAGTACAGCAGGTTGAAGATGAGGCAATAACTCATCGAAGAGGACATTGTGAAATGGTCGCGCTATGTCGTGAATTGGCAGAAGTTAAAATTCAAGGACCATTGGATGGGGTCCCAGTGGCTCAATGGTCTACGAGCTCGCCTTGTAACCAGAAGGTCCTGATTTCGAATCGTGGTTCTGGATGCGTACTGATGAAGAGTCCCAAACTGGGCGGGACGAAACATCTGTCCAGTACTCCCTGCAGGTTTTCCAGTGGTTCTCTAACTGATGTCAGCTCATGATGAAATCCTCCATGCAATTCAATTTTAAGCCACTTAATTCCATATTCATTTGTTTATTGAATATACAACAAAATTTATTGTTCATAAGCACACCAATTATAAGTGAATGACTTCGAAACTTTATTTTTATAATTCTCAACCTTCTTACCCATTTGTAGTAGGGGTAGCGGAATTTTCTAGATGTTCGGGGACAAGTGTTGAATCATTCCTTTTACACGTATTCTCAGCTGATTCGATGAATGAAGCTTCTGTTATTAACCTCTCCCTCCATGTTATTACACTGAATTTTAGGCTTGTAATAATGCCTATCCCATTGTATGGTTGTGTGTAATTGCATCTAGTACAATAGCTGAGCTAGATTCTAAATTTATTATCCTATACGGTCAACTAATCTAGATTTTGCTAGTTTCGGTGCTCCGCTAGTCTGACTGACCCCATCCTTCTACTTTGAACTATGTATTTAACCTCACAATCACTGCAGTCACACGCAACCATACAATAGGATGGATTCCGGCCAAAGTGAGTGAATGGTTAACGGGCTTAACCTCATAACCTGAAGTTCCTAGGCTCGATCCAGGACAGTGGGACTGTGGGTGCGCACTGATGGAGAGTCCCAAACTATGCCTAATACTCCCTGGTTTTCAATGATTCTCTAACTGACATTAGTCAGAGATCAAATTTGAAACAACTCAAATCCCTACAAATTAACGCTTGAAAAAATAAATTGTTTTCGAACCGTCATCCGATAATTAATACTGTTTCATTGGACAATATATCCAATAAACAAATCACTATGGAATTGCATCCTACCAGTGTCCAATCAATCATTTGAGCTACTTAATCTTTTAATAGATTGTTGTTTAAACCAGCAGTCTGAATCTCTGCTGGTAGAGGAATACTAGACAACCAAGCCAGTGGTCTTCGGTTCGACTCCCGGCCTAGACACTCTGGAACCTCCCTTAGCCGGCAGTAAGCCTGGTAAAGACAGGAGGTTGGTTGTGAGGCTAGCAAATCCACAGCTTCTTAAACTTCAAGACTCAAGCTTGAAACTCTGTATTCCACTCAGACTGTAAATAAATTACAAAAATAGAACATGAAAACTAGTCATAAGATGTAGAAATGATTTAGAATAATTCATAGTAAAGTTGAACATACTCTTTCTAGTTCTTCTTGAAAGTCATCTTTCAAAGATTGTTGAAATTCTGGATTGATTTCAACTGTCTCCTGTACAAATGTTCCTGTGGATATTTTGATAACTTGATTATTTTTTCGATTTTCTGTTCTTATCTCTGTAGTAAGCGATTCGACTAGCTCTTTGTATAACGATTTAATTTCTTCTCTTGCCTCTGATTGATTGGTTGGTGAAAACATTGACTTCAGCCTGATTGACTTGCCTATCTGGTAACTGGTATTTCCTTGAGTACCACCAGTGCCTAACAGGATACTCAACATGAAGAGTACACCAAGTGGGCATGCAAGATAGTCATCTTGCCCTAGATATTTTATTCAGACACACAAAAAAAACACGAAAATAGATAACTGTGAAGTATACTTATTCAGTTTGTAGAATTTTTATTATACAGTCAAGTTTATACTGAATGTTCGCCTCGTAAATCGGATCATAAAGGTATTCACGGGCCTTTTCATACAACCTCCTAGTCAGATTATAAAATCACCTAATAGTTCAAATGAGCAAATAAAATATAACCATTTTCAATATAATATTATTATTCCCTTTGGTTCCGAGTAGAACATAGGGCTTCAAGGGTACATCTCCGTTCCATCCTGTTCTCTGAAATCCTCTTCAGCTGACTCCATGCTTCCCTAGAGGCTCTCATCTCTTCTTCACAGGATCTCCCCAACTCGCCGCCTCCTATTTGAGTTCCTAATGAGCGCCTGGAGTGTGGTGTCACTCAACAGTCTTCTCAGAGTAGGTCCAATCCATCCCCATTTCCTTCTACATATTTGCTAAGCAATAGGTTCTTGGCTGTTTTGCTGCCAGAGTCACTTGCTGCTTATCTTTCCTGGTGGGATTATCTTATCTTGAAGGCAGCTTTTCCTCAGAGTCTACAGTATCCTGTTAAGAATGATTGTGGTGACACGCCGAGTTTCTGAACCATATAAAAGAAGTGACTGAATTAAGATGAAATCCAAATCTTGTTCTTCATACTGATTGTTTCAGACTTCCACACTGATTGCTGAGTAATCAGTGTCTATCTTGGTTTCTGGTCCTGCCTGCTTTCTGCATCCTTATCCGTACCGCCTGTATAGTTGGAACGGCTCTCCTTAGTTACCTCCTTCAAATTTCTCCCGCTAATGACGATTGGTACTTGCTGTTGTTGGTTAGATATCTGCATTACATCTGTCTTCTCTATGTTCAACTTAATTCCTGTCTTTTCTGCTATCCTCTTTTGCCAATTTGTCGGTTTTTGCCTGTATATCTTCCATTTTGTGTGAAATTAGACGTAAATCGCCCGTGAAGTCCACATCTTCTACAGTCTTCTTTCCAGTTCAGCATATGCTTGTCTCTTCCCATCACTAGTAGACAGCAGGTACGGAGACACGCAGATAAGGAGAGCTGGATGACTGTTGCATCACAGTTCGGAACTCTTCACTAGTGAACATCCATGACACTATGTGGTGTAGACGGCAAGATATTTTAGTCTAATATTTGTTATAATCAAACGTTTGACCTTCTCGAATAACATCCAACTTGGCCTGTATTTCTCAATCAGGTTGCAACCTTTACAGGACTTTAGTGATGCTACAATTATGTCATCTAATGACAGTCTCTTAAGGAAAAAGCATATACCTGAAACTACTTCACTGTTAACCAGTCAGAATGTTTTTCCACAGTCTGTGATTAAGCAAATTTTCGTTTAAATGTGCACAAAAGTAAGTTATGGGATTTTTAACCATCTTTTAAACTAACTGACAGTATTTTCCTTTTAAAGCATAGCATGTATCACCTTCAAAGCACTAAAGCCTTTTAGTGACATGAATAAATTCTAATTAAGTTGGGGAATTTGGAATTGCCACTGACAACGTTAGGAATGTTTCCGGAGAGTAGATAAAATTGAAACCAAAGAAGTAAAATAAAGAATGCATGACAGGTGTACTTGATGTAAGATTATATCATTCCACTACCGATCTATGTGATGGCCTTGTCAAAGAATTGTTTATTCGAAGTAGCAGGGTAGAACGAAACACGTATATAAGATCCAATGTCTGTAACTAATCAACTGCACTTAAACATTCACCATCTATTATCGTCGATAGCATTGCTGTCTGTGGTGGACTGAATCATGCAACAGACTGTAAGAAATAAGAAGACGGACTTCTTAAGTTCAAGATGTCGAGAGTGTACGTTGGTCGGGTACCTCCTAGATGTACTGAGAGGGATATCGAAGGATATGGCAGGTTGAGAGATATCGTTCTAAAGAATGGATATGGATTCGTCGAGTTTGACAATGAGAAGGATGCAGATGATGCTGTTTACGACCTTCATGGTAGAGATCTAAGGGGCGAGCGTCTGATCGTTAAACACGCCCGTTTTCCACCAGGCACCAGAGGTGGCAGCAGAAGAGCTGGTGGAGGAGATGGTGGTAGTGGTCGTGATCGCAGGTACGGCCCACCAACTCGCACGGAGTACCGCGTTATTGTTGAGAATCTGTCATCGCGTGTAAGCTGGCAGGATCTAAAAGATTTGATGCGTAAGGCTGGGGAGGTCACCCATACAGATGCTCACAAATCGGCAAAGAATGACGGAATTGTTGAGTTTGCTGCTTATGCGGATATGAAGGAGGCGATTGAGAAGTTTGATGGTTATGAACTTTACGGGCGCAGGCTTCGTGTGTATGAAGATCGTCCAGGCCAGAGATCTCGATCGGGTTCTTACAGGTCGCGATCTGACAGTCGTCGACATTCCCACAGATCGCGAAGCCGAGATTCCTATCGCAGAAGGGAATCGCGAAGCCCATGACATCGACGCGACAGGTCTCATTCAAGTGATGAACACCGGTCAGAATCTCGTCACAATTCCCACAGACGCTCCAGGGAAAATTCCATCGACAGAGAGTCTAGGAGTCCGTCGCATCGTTCAAGGTCTGACCGTTCTCATGCAAGATCTCTTTATCAACACAGTGACAAACACTCATTGGGTGCTGGTTCTCGCTGTCCAAGTAGTAATGGTAGAGAAGGCAGCATGAAGAATGATTTAGATCGGCGTTCCAGGTCACGTTCTGCTTTGCAGGCGACTTATGCCCAGTGTCACACAACAACAAGTTGCTAAAGGAGGATAGTGGCGAAGACAGGACTTAAACTGAAAATGGAGAAGACAGAGCTGACGAAGATACCCAGCGATCAACAACAACAACGGACCTCAGTAACTGCTGACGGAAAAAATTTGAAGCAGGTCACTGCTTTCACTGACCTAGACAGCTTCTTTTCAAGTATAGTTGGCACAGATGAAGACATCAATGGCAAGATCTGAAAAGTAATACAGAGGTCCACCACTCTGCAATCAACGTGGAAATCTACTGCACTCAACATAAAGAACAGGATCCGAATTTCGGACACTCATGTTAAATCATTCAGTGTTTCTACAAGGTTCGGAGACTCGCGCTGCGAGTTAGTAAATGCATTTCAGACAGGCTGCAGACTTTCATCAACATCCGCCTCCACCAGGAGGCTACTGAACATCAGATGGCCAAAATGGATAATCAACAGGGTGCTATGGGAACGAACCAACCAATAACCTACTGTCTAACAAATATGCAGAAGGAAATGGAGATGGATAGAATATACGACGAGCAGACTGTCGAGTGACACAGAACGCCAGGCCTCCGAATGAAATACGAATAGCAAATGGTGCGTTATGAATCATACGTTGGTATGGAGGAGGTAATGTGGGGAGGAAATGAGAGCTTATGAGCAATCTTGGAGTGAGCTAGAGATGAATTCACAGAACAGTATGGAATAAATATGTGCTACTGAATTTCCATGTTACATTGGCAGCCTAAAGGAATAATAATACAAATACTCACCACCGGAATCACAAACTGGGTGCTGAATACTGAATGAATGTCCAAACTAACATCATATGAATTTAGAGGGAAGTTCAAATAAATGCTTACTTTAAGTATTAAAAGGGTTAATAAGAAAGCTCGTTTACCTCAATTCTCAGAGGATAATAGTAAAACTAAATCAGAAACAGTTAAGTAAAATGAACATATTCTCGAAAATTGTCGTACAGAGCTGACAAAGTTTGTTCTGAATACAAAACGCGAACATGATAAACTCAGTGAGCAGTTGAGTTGTCTTGAAAATCAATATGCAAATACTTATTAGGTTCCAACTGTTGAAAGTTTAGAAAGATCGTGAAAAATCGCATAAGGGATTCATTAGCTTGCATGTAATGCTTCTTCAATCGGAGCTCTACCTTCAAACGAAATACGTCCACCCACTATTGTTACCCTGGTGTGCTGTGGATCCAAAGAATTCATAAACCCTGTATTACATTTTCCTAATTTATCTGATATTTCTATTAGTGTTACTACATTCATTGCTTATTACCGCTTACAATCGCTTTACAAACTGGAATCTATTGACCTTAATGATTCGTTATTGTTAAAACAAAGCACTAATGTTGTTAGTTACAGTTAGTCTTGACTATCGTGAACCTATAACTGCAGAATCTGATGGAGAAGTAGTCATCGAAAAGAATATTCTTTCTTTACTAATCAGTCCCTTCAGATTTTTAATGGATATCTTTGATCAATCTAAAGGTGATGTTCTCTCCCTTCACGAATTTTAAAGTCTAAAATGAACACTACAACACTTCTGGATTTCATCATGAGCTGATGTCGGTTAGACAACCATTGGAAAACCACCAGGGAGTACTGGACTGATGAAGACTCCCAAACTGGGACGAAACAATCTTCCAATGGTTCTCTAGCTGATGTCAGCTCATGATGAAATTCAGAATTGTTGTAGTGTTCATTTCAGACTTGAAAATTCGTTAAGAGAGAAAACATCACCTTTAGGTTGATTAAAGATGCCCATTAGAAATCTCAAGAGACGGATTAGTGAACAAAGAATATTCCTTTCGATGACTACTTCTCCATCAGGTTCTACAGTTATAGGTCCATGATAGTCAAGACTAATTGTAACTAACAACATTAATACTTTGTTTTAACAATAACGAATCATTAAGGACCATAGATTCCATGTTGTAAAGCATCTGTAAGCGGTAATAAGCACGAATGTAACACTAATAGTAATAATAATAATAATAATAATTAATTAATAAAAAATTTTAGCATGTTTTAGATTATTGAATTTAATTTTCTCTTTACATAGCATGGTGAGAGGAAAAACAAAAAGTAACCGTTATTACACAGCTTAAATGATGTCCACAATTATGAGAAAATAAACAAAAAAATAAATGAGAGGACTATAAATATGTGAAGAATAATAACAGTAAAGCTTGATGTTATAAGGATGGAGAAAATTGTTTATTTACTAATGGTAAGAAGGTTAGTTAGTTAATTCGTGCCTGACACCATTTTCACCACATAAAATACTCGTCAAATATGGTATCGTGGAATACCATATTTGTCACGGAATATCAGATGAATTATGAAAAATAATACAGATTTTATGAGTTTACTGCATCCACAGCACACCAGAGTAACAATAGCGAGTAGACCTATTTCGTTTGAACGTAGGGCGCTGTCTGTTTTAGACGTTTGCAATGACTTCTACTGTTTTGAGTGTTTGGTATTTAGAGGCTTTTTGCAATTTACTTGTTACTGGATAGATAGTGAGTGGGAAAGCATTCTTCAATACCGGCTTTATGGCCAGTTTGGATCAGGTGATCAAATGTCGAAGTGTTGATGGTTTTTACTGCCCTTATACTTAGCCACACTGAAGCGGTGTTCCTGAGCACGAAAACCTACATTCTTAGAGTAATGGCCTATGTAGCCAAATAGTATCATGTTAACCTTCAGATGTCATTGAAGCCTTCACACTAACAGTTAACATGTGAACAAAGACTGAGTGTTTCGGGCAGATAAAATTAATCAATAGGAAATTGGAAACAAGTGATTCGACAAATACTCCATTATAGATGAGATTTTATTTTGATAAATCACACAGTGATGAATATGACTACAATTCAAGGGCGATAAACCAAGTGAGTTAATTACAAAGAAATTAAGAAAATCAGTTCAATGAACTTTTAATGCTGGCGAACTACACATCTTATTCTCTACACGACCGATGGTGCTACCTCGACTGAAAGATGAAGTACCTAAACTGGCCACTTCAAATTGTATTTATCAATTCAACTGCGCTTGTGGAGCGAGTTATGTTGGCCGTTGCTCTAGGAACTTGATTTTTCGTGCTCGAGAACATATCCCACTATGGCGAAGTAAAGGTATAGTTAAAACTATTAACAGCTCGATATTAGACCATCTGGTGCAAACCGGCCACAAAGCCAGCGTAGACGAATCCTTCTCCATAATATACCGGGTGCCTAACAAACTACCAAAATCGTCGAAGCACCGCTTGCTCCAAACAGCAGAGGCTATTGCAATTCGCCTCAAACAACCAGTGCTCTGTGTCCAGAAGAAACAAGTCCAGCCCCTACTACTGCCCTGGCCCTCAGTAGAGACTATAAACTCATGAATTTGTACCATTACCTTTCCTAATTCTTCTGACATTCAGTTTATTTGGTGTTGATGCTGTTCAGCTGTAATTTATCAATATTATTGATTTGATGTTATTTAAACATTAATGTCGTTCATAAGACTAATTCATTCATTCATTATAATGTTTATATTATTTTGTTTAAATGGGTCCACTGGTTCCTCTAGCCTACAGAGCTTGTCCTATCTGAGTGAGTTTGTAGATTTGAATGCCACTCTAATTCCTGCTTTATTGAGAATCCTACGTAGGGAGTCTCAGATGTCCCCTTCTTATATGGTATAACTGTAGATGTCTTATATTCTCTCCTATTTATGTTATCATTATTAGTTTCACCATTATTTTTATTTTGCTTTTGACCTTTTTTGATCTTCCTAATGAATTTTATAGGATAGTTATTTGATACCAACGCTTCTTCTTTATCTGTTTCATTTCATCGTCAAGGTTTTTATATAAATGAAGTAAAAAGTTGTGTGAGTGACTTGATATGATTATTAGGAGTGATAATTTGTGCTCGAAACGTAGTCATCAGTTAATATTACTGTACAACACTGTGTGATTTATCAAAATAAAATCTTATCTATAATGGAGTTACACTCTACCACAGTGCCCAAGTTTCATACTTATATCGATTTAACGAATAATAACTTGCTACTTCCTCTGAACAATCAACTTTTGAAGCTTTCTTTTTGCTCTAAACAATATAACTTTATTAGATTATTTATTCAGCATTTTTAATTAGAAATAAAACCTCTGCCTTGAAAATAAATCGTAAATAAGTAAGTATTAATAAACAGTTTATAGGCAGTGATAAATCACGCTTCACCAGTTCCTGATATCTGATTATATTTCTACTTAACTTCGCTTGTAATAAAGATAAACGCATCAGTTACAAATAGCGCCTCATAGGACAAACTAACTGAATAAAATGGCCAAATACAATGGAATCTATCTATGTAATTGAATGAAAAACTGGATTGTCTTTTGTATCTAGTACGGGAAAGCTTTTTGTATAACGCTACAACTTCAGCAGTGTATGAAATTCATTCTTGATGTTTCATACGAATGTGATTCAGAAGTCTTAGGTCAATCTTCGTTCAGCAAAAGAACTTTATACATTTATTCCCTTTAATGAATTTGAATAAAGCAAGAACAACAGAGCTTTTTGCAGAATAAAATGGTACCATCAATGCTTATTTCGTTGGCTTCTCATCAGCTGCTTACAGGCCAAAGTCATTATTAAATATATCTACAAAACAATTTTAACATACTTGCACAGAGTTCATTTTAAACAAAAATCAGTCGATGAATATACGCATACAGCAAACAAACAAACACGTTAATATAGATGAAATATACCAATTAATAAAAAGTAAATCAGGTGATCAAAAAGTTTAAAATCCCAGTCAATAGAAAGTGGTCAATAGATATGTGAAGATAGTAACCAAGAGATGCAATTACATCACGCATGAAGAAATTTAAATCATTTCACTCTGTGCTAAATATGGCGCTGAAGATGTTGTCCGGAAGGACGACGAAAGCTTCGCGACTAAACCAACCAGCTCAGAGAACACTTTTAATTGCAAATCATCCACCTGAGCTACAAATCTTCTCTATTATTTTAACATACTTGCACAGAGTTCATTTTAAACAAAAATCAATCAGTATATGCATACAATAATAATAAACATATTACTAAACACTATTCCGAACAATAATAATCATACACAATCGAAACTTTCGGCATTACGTAATCAGATGAAAAAGAGGTGAAAATATCCAGTTACCAAACAGGGCAAGGAAAGACTGATAACCACTTCTTTCAGTACGCACAAATCAAGTTTCAGATGCTTGACGGAGATGGCTTCAGCAAACTTGAAGAGAATTGAACTCTTTTGCCTACTGATAATTTTGAAAGATCTTGTGAAGTCCACCTCATGACCCACGTCAAGGAGATGCCTGGTGATGGCATTGTTTAAAGCATTTGTTCCCTTTAGACATAAGCTTTTTGGTACATGTTGAGAAAATCGTAGATATGCCCTTCTTTCTATTCTTCCAATGTAACTGCTTCCGCAGACAGTTTCCATAGTGATTGATTGATTTTTGTTTAAAAATGAACTCTGTGCAAGTATGTTAAAATTGTTTCTGTAGATATACTTAATAATGACTTTGGCCTGTAAGCAGCTAATGAGTAGGCAACGAAATAAGCAATGATGGTACCATTTTATTCTGCAAAAACCTCTGTTGTTCTTACTTTATTCAAAAGAACTTTATACTTTGCTTCAAGTGCTATGCTCTCTATATTCTATCAAAATACTGCTAAAGAATTTCACTAATCTATTTGGAACACATATAAAACAGTCTTGGGTGACGATAATGAAAATAATCAGAGAAAATGTAGGCTGAAACTTACCAAATGCCACAGTAGATTTGGAGAGAAAAGCTCGAGTGAATGCCTTATGACTTGGACTATTCACATATGGATCCTGTTGTTGAGGCGGTGTTCTGAAACACATTGTTTACATTACCAAAACTCTAGATATTGATGTTTCATTCACACATATTTATATATATATAGCATATATGCGGGTTTTAACGAAGCGTTCGATGAAATCACATGAAAATATGCGATTTATTTATTGATATATTATATAGTTCATAAGAAGCGTAAATTTTTAGCGTGATAAGATTACATAAATAAACATAGAATTAAGTTATACTCGTTCTTATTAGATTTAATATGTGTAACAATCGAACTGGATGAAATATCTACAAACCAACACTGGTCATATGCAGTTCGATTTTATTAATCTATATGATGATAAGTCGAAAGCTGAATTATAAATGTCATATATCTGATAAGAGTTCAATCGCGTTTTTGATTTAATGACAGCTGTATGACTGACTAAAAAATTCTCCGAATAGATCATTAAGTGTTGACTTTTGAAGCCAAGATGAATAGAATGCTAAGCATGTTTCTTGAACACTGTCAAGGATAATCTTAACATATGAAACTTAGTTAAATTTAATGTCAGTTAAAACAATTAGTCCTTTTGATAAATTTGAATAAGGCATTCAGAAGACAAATTTCGCGAGATGATATCGTCATTTCGTAGTTTCTTTACAACCGCTTTACAACTAACAGGGTTAACAATAATAAAATAAAATAAAACATGACAATTACTCAGTTAAATAAAAAACAAAAGTACATACTGATGACCAATAATATTTAAAAGGTCATGTAGTCCATGGTAAGCGAAGATTGAAGTCTATTGTTTTCGTATACACAGTTTAGGTTGTATGTGATTAATCCAAAGTGCTTCCATCACCTTCAATAACCTTGAATTAGAGTTATGTGAAATAATTGTGAACAGTCATTAATATTGATTTTGTGACCTGACATTAATAAGTGTTTTGCAATGGATGATGCTGGATTTCTATTCAGATTAATTGCATTGGGATTTTCCATATGATTTAGTAGCCATTTTGGAACATGTTCTTTTCGACGACATTGGAACATTCTGTTGGTTCTACCTATATAGGTGTCACCGCAGCTGCAGGTGAACTATTAGATCCAATTTGAAGTAGAGTCCACAGAATTTTTTCCTTTAATCGTAGGCACAGGGATCGAAAATGTTCGTCAAGTGAGAAAAAGAGATGCGGTGGCGTAGAATGTGCGTTTGATGACTGACCGAAGTCTTTGAGCTGTCAACTGCATAATCTGGTCGCCCTTGAATGGTAGGTTAATAAACATAGCGATGGGAAGCCCTCTTGGGCCCCTTTTAGCAGGTATTTTCATGTAGATATTGGAAAAATAAATGCAAGGTATGCTTGGAGAATTTATGCTGTATAAACGTTATGTAGATGATACTCTCATTATTGGTAATAATATTAAATCTATTGAAAACTTTATTACGCTATAAATTTCATAAAACTCCACTGATTGGTCAGTAAGGATGAACCCACATGTAACACTTTCTTTGTTAAACGTGAGTCACATAGTCTAGTCTGGTTTATTAGATCTTAGAACAACCCATTTAAATGAACAACATTGTGCTTTCAATTAGATCTCATCAGGCTTAACTCTAATATACCTCCATAACTTCACAAATAAAAATTCAAATATAAACCAATCATGGTGTTTTGTCTATAGGATAATAAGATGGTGAATATAAATTTTGCAATTAGTCATAATAGTAGTAATGATAATGGTTTTATCAATAATAAGGATGAAAAAGTGAGGCAATCTGTGTTAACACGAATAACGAAAAACAGCATGATTAAACAAACAAATGTTCAGGTAGACGTAGTAATCGATAAAGGCTAAGAAAAACAAATGAACCGATTAAGTAATCCTAGATTGTAAGGGAAGTAAATGACAGACAATCAATAATAATAATAATGGTATATTCTCATTTTTTTTACATGAGGGACGCCAGTTTACAGGCATCATCAATTCGATAAATTACACATACGATTAGTAAGTATAGTCTCAGAGGTTTAATTAATTTTTAAAGGCATTTATTAGCAAGTACATTGATCCCTTATATTATCACAGTCAAAGTGACAATAACAAGTCACAGATTGATTTCTCAGTGTGACTGCAATCTAATGCCATTGGCCACTATTCTTAATGTATGTGTAAGCATGTATGTATGTATGCGTGTGTGTCTGTCTTGATTAGTGTATGACGGGAAACACTTAAGTTGTCAGGTTACTTCTACTGCCATTCCTAGTTTTAAGTGTTAGTACATCCTTCCGGGGTTCTGCTTGGTAGATTTTGTTAAAAAGATTCAGCCGGAAACTGTTAATGCAAGAACAACATCAATGGTAAGGTAATTTTGACAGAATAATTGAACTACTTATATTTTATCAGTAGCCTACCGTGTACAGTAAAATGTTTCGTGGTTTCCCCTCATTGTCCCATTTAACTGGGCTTTTTCCTCCTTTGAAAAGAAATAGCCCCTTTTATCCCACACATTTGTCCGATTGGGAAATTACTCCCCGTGATCACACCAACTGTTGGAATTGCGTTTAATTCACGCATTTATGATTTGTATTCATGTGAACAGTTCTTCTTCTTGTCCATTCATTTTTGTGTATCCAGAATTATATTCCAGGTTGTTGACAGTTGTGCTGAGTCACCCTTGTCACATGTATCCCGTGTGACCTTACTGAATACAGATTCTATTATTAGTCTCACTTTCCATTTATCCTTATTAGATTTCAGAATACAAACATTGTTAAGATCAGTATTTTGGCTTTTGTCCCATGCATGTGCACGTATAAACGAATTTTTTTTTCTAAATTACTGTAAGCTTGTGCTCCTTTGGAATGACCTTTAGTTAGACGTTTATGTTCGTTCACTATTATCTTGAGTGACCTAGACATTTGACCCATATATTCAGTCGGACATTCAGCATGAGATATTTTGTAAATTATTATATTAATTTTGTCCATAATTTTTATTGGATCATCTAATTAATTAATTTCATTTTCAATTAGATTCGTTGGTTTAAACGTGGTGTGAATCCCAATATTTTTGAGGTTTCTGGGAATTACGTCTATGATGTACCATTTTTGTATGATATTGTGGTTGTTTTTTTGTTTTGCCCTCCTCATTCTTATCATTCTCTTATTTTACCCTCTTTCTTCTCTTTTTTATGTTATCTCTGATAAATGTTTTTGGGTAATCGTTATCAAGTAACATTTTGAATAATACGTTTATTTCTTTTCGTTGGTGATCTGGTGTTGTTGTAAGTTCTAGTATCCTATCTGCAGGACCTCGTTTTACCGTGAGTAGATGAATTGAGTGATAATCAGGGAATCTCTCCTAATGTATGCATGGCATCGTTTTTACACTACCATCCACTGCTCTCTGTACTTTGCAGTGTGACATAGGTGGTTCCCCAAATTCACTCTCTATTTCCATAGTGTAGTACACCAACCACAGCTACACAATAATGCGAGATATAAAGTAAATAGATGAAAATGAATCAGTTTAATATTAACTAAATAAACATCTTGTGTGCCTGCGGATGCTTTAGGCTTGTTATGTTTTGCTTTAACAAAGTAAGCTCGGGCGCCATTTTCGCGCTTCTCCTTTGCATTGGGACCGGAATGATGGTTTTGTACAGTCCCTATTAAGAGTTAAATAAATGACACATTGTGTGTACACTTGATCCTAATGAAAATCATTGTTTAACTGTGCCTTTTCCGTGGGTAAGGAAAATACAGCTGTCTGTTTGTGTCTAGTTTTCTATCTCCCCGTGATCGTCTGTTTGCCTTATGAAACTACAGGAATTTCCCATCCTCGTTCAAAGAATATTCAACAATCCAGTGGCAAAAATCTACAGTGCAGAAAACGTCGTTGAAAGATACTATGTGAATTGCAACACTGGGTTATACTATTAAATTCGTGGAAAGTGGAAATTAATCCTGTCCACAAGTAACTGCAATCATTTATAACTCATTATCATCATTAGCTGTAATACACTGTCCATGTACCTTTTAGCAATTCGGATACTGTATTTTGATATTTCAGATGATTTCTGAGTTTGTTACTAATGCCTCACATTTATGCTGATAAAAACACCCCGTCAGAGTATGTAGTTAAGCCATAATTATCAGACAAGGCCTAGAAGCTTTTTCACAAATAAGCTTCAATTTTATTTTATTCAAGTATACTACTCTTCAGAGCACACTACTAAATGACTGATTCCGTCTCATTTGGATCCTGTTATTAGGCTAGTTAGTGTCCTTGTAGTGACCCATTTTATTACTCATCATCGTAGTGTACTTTCACTATGTAATTGGACTTTCATTTGTTTATCACTCTAAAAATTGCGTGTTGACAATTGATACTTTTGTACTCGCTCAATTTTTGAATTTTGATTACTGCGATAATACACGATCGTATTCCTTTGTAAGTGCCCTTTGAATTACCTTGTGGATGTCGAGTAATCACAACGTTTGGGCACAATTATAAACGCGAAGAAGTACTAGGATATACGTTTACTCTAGTCTGGTCAAAATAGAGCAACGCAACACCCTGACTAAACGGGTAATACAGCACACTGCATTTAATAAAGCTAGTATACTGTAGCGTATCAATAACACAACCATACATTTAGAAACTACTTTATGATCATTACTATTGATAAATTTCTGAGCAATACTCACTTTATTTTGTAAGTAAATCTGTTTACTGGATTTAATATAACCATAACCAATTAAAGCACTGACAAATTGGATTGATTTTATTCCGTTATCCTCATTTTAATGAACTTGCTAAGAGTGACAAAAGAATGATGAAATGAATCTGAAGTCTTACAGCATGAATGATTTACATGGTGCATTCAGTTTACGCTTTCAATTAGCACTTAAATGTATTAGTTTTATGTTTATAGCCAAGTAAACTAAGCTTCTTAGAAAAATCGTTTCACATTACACTTAGTTTCCTGTTGATTCTGTTTCACTCCGGCCACTAACTTCTTGCATTTTTGTGAATTACTAA